GTGATGTGTCTTTATTATCTTCGTAAAATACATTGTCTCAGCTACTAAGATTTTAAAAATCGATATATTATCTACTGAAAATTTAGATTATCATTACATATCATCTAACAACATCTTTTGTTAGAAAAAGTTATTAAAGATCTCCCAGATAATATAAAGACCTAATTTACTCATCAGTCTATTTACAATTAACAATAATGTTCACAGCAAAATTTCGCTGACAGAAAAATAGGATATGATTTTATTTAATCACAATATACGCCAACCATTACGCAGTACGACTGATAGGCATATGAGTTAACTAATCAAAATATGAAACCAAGTGCAGAAATTAAATATGAATGCCTAAACAAATGTCAACACAAGTTGAATAGACGTTTATATAAGTTATTGGAAAATAAGTTATTAGGTATTCCAAAAAAACTAACAACAGAATTCGGAGTAGTCTAAAAACTAAATGAAATGAAAATTTATTCCCTGATATACCCACATTCTCATAGAGGTTCAGAGTTTCAGTTTTTCGATTACGTTCAATTACCAGTAAAATATTTATGAGCCTTCTATAGGTATTATCAAAATATCTTTCATATCTTTTTCTCTGTTATAATTTCCACAACTTGAGTTTCATTCAGACTTAGTTTTGAATGTCTCTGCAAACGTTACTATGATCTTTACCAGTGATGAACGTATCATGTAATTGTTTATTAACACAATTGTAAACCTATAAGAAAACGAAATTGAGAGAAAACTCTCTTTTTATATAAATATTTTTCAAATTACGGTGTATAGAGTCAGGAACTTTTGAAAATCAAACTTCGAAAACTTAGATCACTGTGTAACTATTATTTTCAAGAACTAACTCGAAGTAAGAATATTCTATATACACAATCATATTTATAATGAAAAATATACTGTCTGAAGTGGTTTTTGAAAAAAAGTATCTTTTGAAATTAAATCCGCCAGTAGAACCTTCGGGGCTACTGCCGGTCCCAAGCCCGGGTAAAGGAGGAGGGTTGGACATGGGGTTGGCGGCCCCATTCCGTCAAAAACTAACTTGCCAAAAAAACGCGAACCAGAAAAAATAATTCTAACCATTTTAACTGTGCCTTGGGAGTTGGAAGAGCAATTATGACGTCTCGTGATGAAAGCCGAGTTCCCTCGGAAGTCACGGGGCTGATGCCTCTTCTGACAACCAGAGCAACAATTCTTTCAGGTACATTGAACGTTCGTTCACTGTGGGAGACTAGAAAACTACTTCGTGTTGCTACAGATATAAGATGATACAACCTGGAGGTGCTCAGCATCAATGAAATGCATTGGACACAGGTAGGACAACTGAGACAAGCTTCAGAGGAACTGCTGTTATACTCTGGTCATGAAGAGGAAAATGCTTTACATACACAATAAGTTGCACTGATGCTGTTCAAACATGCACACAAGGCACTGATAGGATGGGAATCTCGTGAACCAAGGATCATCAAGGCATCCTTCGAAACAAAGAGAAAGGACATTACAATGAACGTCATCCAATGTTATGCACTTACCAATGACTACAACGACGACGTTAAAGATCAATTCTACGAAAGGCTGCAGTCAATCGTCGACAGATGCTCACCAAAATATTTGACGATTCTTATGGGAGACCTGAATGCCAAGGTTGGAATGGACAACACTGGATATGAAGAGATCATGAGACGACATGGACTGGGAGAAAGAAACGAAAATGGTGAGAGATTTGCAAACCTATGTGCCTTCAAGAAAGTGGTCATTGGCGACGCACAAGCGCATACACAAAGCTACATGGATTTCACAAGATCACACCACTCAGGACCAAATTGACCATATCTGTATCAATATAAAGTTCAGAAGGACCTAGGAGGATATGAGAACCAAGAGAAGAGCTGATATAACCTCAAATCACCACATGCTGGTCGCCAAAAGGAAACAGAAACTCAAGAAACACTGGATAATGGGGCAGACAATATCACACAAGTTTAATACAGTCTTTCTTCGGTATACCGTAGATCTCGATGAATTCGAGATAGCCCCCTGCAATAGGTTCTAGGCCTTGCACGATATACTCATAGGAGAGGAAGCAACATTGGATAACAATAAGCGATGGATCAAAAAGGCAATCACTTCAACATTTCGAGAGGTCCTGGGTCACAAGAAACACCATCACAAGGAATGGATCTCTGTTGATACTCTTGCAAAAATTTGAAGAAATGAGGAACAAGAGGGTAGCAGTCAATGTCATCGAATAGAGCAGAGAAAGTTAATACAGAAGCTGAAAACACAGACTCAAACAAGAAAGTAAGGAAGGGCGTCAGAGCCGACAAACGGAAATATGTGACGGATCTAGCAACGATGGCGAAAAGGTTACAAGAGGAGGGATCATGAGACAATTGTACGACACAACAAATAAGCTCGCTGGAAACCATCATAAACCGGAAAGACCAGTGGAAAGCAAGGAAGCCAAAGTAACCAGCAACATTGAAGAACAATAAAAAGGAGTTGGATAGAGCAATTTAGGCAACTCTTGAATCTACTAGCTGCAGTGAACCCACCGAAAAATCGAAGCAGCATTAACGGACCTCTCAATCGATGTTGACGCACCTCCAATTGAGGAGATCAGCATGGCCAGCAGACAAATCAAGAACGGCAAAGCATCAGGACCAGACAACATTCCAGAAGAGGCAATGAAAGCAGATGTGGAAGTAACTGCGAAAATATTTCACATTCTCTTCAAGAAGATTTGGGATGAGGAAAAAGTACCATCGGATTGAAAAGAAAGACACCTCATCAAAATACCAAGGAAAAGAGATCTCAGCGACTGTGAAATACCAGGCAAAGTCTTCACTAGCTTGTTGTTCAACGGAATGAAGGACATCGTAGACGCCCAACTTCAAGATCAACAGGCCGGATTTCGTAAGGATCGATCGTGTACTGACCAAATCGCTACATTACGGATCATTGTGGAGCGATCAGTTGAATGGAACTCAACACTGTACATAAACTTCATTCACTACGAGAAATAATTCGACAGAGTAGATAGGAAAACACTGCTGAGTCTTCTTCGACACTAAGAAGATACTTAACATCATACGGAAATCTTATGATGGATTCAACTGCAAAATCGTACACGGAGGACAGCTAACATACTCCTTCGAGGTGAAGACCGGTGTGAGGAAAGGTTGCTTACTCTCACCCTTTCTCTTTCTCCTGCTCATCGACTGGATTATTCAGACATCGACATCTGGAGGGAAGCGCGGTATCAACTGGACAGCTAGGACGCAGCTGGACGATCTGAACTTCGCAGATGACCTGGGTTCTTCTATCTCACACGAAACAACAAATGCAAGAAAAGACGACCAGTGTAGCAACAGCCTCTGCAGCAGCAGGATGTGGAACTGTATTTAAACACCAATTGGATAACACTATAGTCGGACCTTTCAAAACAAATGTCACAACAGTTAAACTGTATGAACTGGAAACTTTTCGAACTACAAAAGCCGTGATAAAGATAATAAAAGTGTTTATTGACAGTCTTCTATCTAAAATAAATAGCATTTTTTTTACCTGTCATCCTACGCTGTGATCGAAAACAAACCAGATCTCAGTAGAAGAAGATATCAGGAGTTGGATGGGATATCATTATGGAGAGCACAAGAAAAGCATTCAGCGGGAATCTTTAATGCCAAAAGAAAAGAGGAAGTCGAAGTGTGGTGCTGTGGTGCGAACTACTTATAAGTAGTATATAACGTGAGTGTCAACGTAAAGTCTGGTAGCATAATATGGGGGGAAGATCAAGAAAGGAAGAGTTAGAAAACAATGGAATTTGTATGAAACGCATGAATAGTGACAATGGATTGATGTTTGGCAACAGGAACAGTCCAGTTCGATAGGATGAACTGATCTTTTGCAAATGAACGATTTACGACATGGTTTTTCGATTTTACTGAGTAACTCTGTAATTTTCGATAAATAGAATTCGGTTGCCCCACCTGTGTTCTCAATCACGACACAAGTAACAATTGCGCGAAGAAACAGTGACCGATGAAATGAGAAGAGAATTTAAACGATTTTTTAGGAGTTCCTTATCCTTGTCAATTGATTATCAATCAACTTAAAGAAATTGACACAAATATCCAACTACCTGGGTAAATTACAGATGTTTCTGAATAATTTGGTGTAATGCCCAACGGTTATCAATCGTGTACGAATAACTTCTTTACCTTACCTGATATGGTTTAACTAATCTTTCAAGTTTAATAATTATAAGAAACCATATAGCAGACTTATTGTATACTGTACACATTCAAATGTACATATGCATGAAAACAAAATGCCTTTAGAATTCTTCAATATTCATTTGGAAATCTTTTCGTTTACATGAACTATTTAGAGAGACGAAGAAAACGGATCAATCAATTCTAGATGAATTTTATTAGGATATTCATCCAATATCCTGTGATCATTGTTCTATTGGTCAGTTCCCATTGACCATCCCAAATATCAATGTAACATACTTTAAAGTTATTCCCTATTCGACGAACTTTATAAATAGGCATCAAGTGTAACATTTTAAGAGCCGGACCTGGACCCGAACTCTTAGTCTGACATCCCTATCTTCTTCTGTACTCAGACCTCGTACTCTCTGGGGATGCTTGTAGAATACAGGTTCTATTCCACATCAAGTCTTCTTCTGTTTACTCAATATGAGGATTGAGATAATTGGAGTAGAATCGTATATCGTATCGCCAAATTATCATCGATCCTCTCTCTCATTTCCCGACTAAGGTTAACTCGTCATAGTTCAAGCATATCAAATTGACATGTTTGCGTGCATGCGTTACACAAAAAAAGGTATTTTCTTATGAAAATTAATGTAACTTAACAAATATGTACATAAATAATGAATGGGAAAAAGATGTTTTTATGATGCATTTCACCGAATACATACATACATGCTTACAAACATTTATATACATATATATACGTACATATATCCATACAAAGAACATATTGTGTATTTAAGTACATTGGCAATTGTCCTTATCAATATATATATATATAATAGTATCAACTTGTATTCGTTGAACTGAACTGTAGTATTTGTTCACGTAGTGAATTCATTTCCTCTCGGTAATTTTTAGTTATATTCATCTGAAATATATGAAATAATACAATCAAAATATAAAAAATTATATTTTGATTATTAATCCACAACATAAAAATCAAAATATTAAGAAAGTTTTGTTATTGAAAGAAGATTTATTTCATATGTGAAAAAAGCTGAAAATTTCGCCGTAATCAATTGAGACTCACACAAAGGTGAAGGCGATTTTGATGTTGCTAGTAAGTGTGAATGTTGTAAATGAACTAGTTAATTAAAATATAAGTAGTATAACAAGCTTATTTAAAAAACACAAAATAAGCTTACTAGTATTGTTTCCCATCGATCTGCAAATTGATCTAGTGTTTGCATCAATTGATTTGTTTCATTTCTGTTTTCATAATTTCAAATAAAAGAGATAAAAACATAAAATTATCATGTAACACAAGAGATTTCGAGGATTATGTTAACTAATGGGTAAAATTATTCTTCAAACTCGTACCAAAGAAGGCTCTATCTCTCTATCATCATTTGTATGTAAAATATTTCTTAGAAATAAATGAAAAGTACATTCTAGTCCTGAATATTCCGCCTACAATGATAAAAACAGAAAAGCAATCACTATGAACATGTAGTCCATACAGCCACGTCCAGTTCTGAATCCAACCTGGATTTCAGGCTGCACTTCAGGAGTACTTGTTAGGCGTTGAATTATTATAGAAGCTGATATTTTAGGGACTATATTAGTCCCTTTTTAGTAAATTGAGGTGATCAGTGATTGAGAACAGTTGGATCGCGAGATGATTGTAACAGATGGTTCGAGATATTGAATAACATGGCGATGTTGCAGATGCAACCACTATTTGTTTTCCAGTAATTATAATCTTTTGAGTACCTCATAAATTTTAATTTCTCGTCTAAAATTTATCTCACTAGATTATAAACCTTTAATAATATCTTCACACCTTAATCTTCTCCATTACCGTTAATAGTTCTACTCTTTCTACTACAATCGGACTTCCGTTGACGTCAACATGTCATTCAATATTTTCGAATCATTACGAGTTCATTCTAGTCAGTGAACAAGAGCGATGATCAAGGATCCGGCGACAAAACAGGCTACTCTAATCCCAACCCTCATATTGGGTAAAAGAAGAAAACTTGATATGAAGTAGAACCTGTATTCTACAAGCATTCAGAAAATATGAGATCCAAGTCCAGAAGAAAGGCGGGGATCCCGGATTCAGGAATTAGGTCCGGGTCCGGCTCATAAAAAGTTACAGATAATGCGTATTTATACATTTAGGTCAAATAAGAAACAGCATCGAATTCTATGACATTAGCAATTAATAGGTGACCGATAGGAAGATACATTTAAAGTGACATATTGATAATCAGGACAACCAATCAGAAACAACATTGAAGTACATGGGATTGATATTAAGGACGACCATAAAATTGACTAATAGGAATTGACCAATAATTCTCTTAGGATATTAGATGAATATCCTAACAACTATATAAAATCTCAAAACAGTACAGTCATATAAATGATATCTGCAAACTTCACTTACTTTCCACTGGAATTCTTTACTTTCCATTGTGCTAATGTAGCAGAATTAATTGTTGTCTGGTTTTCATTATCAAGTAACTGTTCTGATAAATTGTTTAACATTCTAAACTGTTGTGGTATTTCTAACTTAGTTGAATTATTTTCATGGGTACCTTTTAAAATTTAGACTAGATTTTTAATTGAAAATTCTGAATTACCAGTTGTAGTGAAAGATTTACATAAATTATTTTGTAATGTTGGTGATTTTTTTCCATACAAATGTGCTTGTTGACGTACACGTGTTTCACAAAGGCGTCTTGTTGCATGTTTTCTAATGACTACCTATAAAGTGCAGAGAAATGCAAATAAATTTATGTGTTATCAAAGCGTAATTTTAATTGTTTTCGGTTTTCTGTTTCAAATGTAATCAATAAAATATAAGGCTTAATACACTTTGAGAAAATTTACACCACATCAGAATATTCAATTGGAAGAAGAATACTTGATGTGAAGCAGAACCTGTACTCTACAAACATCCAGAAAGAATGAGGTCCGAGTCCAGAAGAGGATGAGGATCCCAGACTAGGGATCTAGGTCCGGGACCGGGTCATAAAACGTTACAGATAATGCGTATCTATATAGTTAGATCGAATACGATACAACGTTGAAGTCTGTGACAGTGACAGTTAGAACGACCTCAACATTGACCAGTCGGAATTGACCAATAGAATTAAACTTACAATTAACTTAGGATATATGCAAATTACTCTTCAGTGCACTTTCAAGTCATATTCAGTTTAACTGTTTAAGTTTCACCGGCTGTGAAATTTAATAGAAGTGACCAGTGAATTTTAAACCTGTGCAATGTAGACAGTAACAACTGAAGAGAATGGATGAACTCGTGCAAGATTTTTTAATCGCTCTATAGGTTGACATTATTATCGCTGGGCGCCGACTCAGTATTCTGGAGTTTCAGCATTCGTACAAGAGATCAATTATCCTGAATTTGATTTCAGAGAACATGAGATGTGAATGCGCAGCAATGAAAAGTTTCATACTAAGTTTCGAAAGGTGATTTGACTATGATTGAAAGCTTAAATATTTTATTGAGTAAGACAAGAAGTAGGTTTGGATGTCACATAAAGAAATCGTGATCAGAACGTTAATAAATCGGTCAGTATATGATCATGGAGAGTAATTTTGTAATGACTCGTTGATGTATATATCATATGAAAAATATTTACAATCAGTTACATTTGTGATTTAAACTTAAAACCCGATATTGAATTTGGAAGCATTTGTCAACGATCTGTAGTCAATCTATATATATATATATATATATATATATATATATATATATATATATATAGGACAACCGTATAAGCAATTCTGTCGTTAGGAAGGGACGGCAAATAATAGATGAAGTTGTGAAACTTCATCAGTTGAGGTGGTTGGGACATGTGTTACATATGCCTAACCACCGACTGCCTCGACGAGCTATGTTTTGTGGTGTAGGAGTAGGTTGGAAGAAAGCTATGGGCGGCCAGACCAAAACATGGCAGAAATGCATGAAGTCACTGACAAGTGGACTGAGTCATGTTGGTAGATGTAGGCTACCTGTTTGGGGTCGGCGAGACGATAGTCACCGATGGTTAGAGACTTTGAATGACATATCTCAGAATCGTTTGAGATGGCGCAGGTGCATCCACTCTATGTGTTCTATGAAATTCTAACCTTTCTCATAATGTCTACCTTTCTCCTTCTAAATTTTTCTAATTGAATTATACTTCTCGAATCATATGTTTACTCCCTTATCTTCTCCATTACTGCTAACAGTTCTATTATTGCTATCACTCTTGGATTTGAACTGACAGTTGCGTCTCTGTGCTGACGGGACATGGCAACCTGAACTGATGTACTTACGTACGAAGTTCTACGTTGTATATGTCTATATATATATATATATATATATATATATATATATATATATATATATATATATATATATACCAATTTATTTTGGTAATTTAATATTTCTGTGGTTATATCAAGTAGAAACATGAACTATCGGTGCCTGGATTGTGCACTGCATACAGATTGATTGAATATTGTTTTCCCACAAATAATTTCGAAAATTTTGTTTAAATGAATAATAGTTCAAGAGTGTTTTAATGTTATTTAGGTAACGGAAAACTCACTTGACAAGTAAAATCAAGTTAAGTGTTTTTTTACTACTAAAAAAGTAGATAGTACTTGTTTTTATTTTTTTTTTAAAAAAAAAACACTAAACTCATTCACATTCAAGTTTACATTTAGTAATTTTTGTTCAATGTTCAATATTCAAAAACATTATAATTTGGATGATTATTTTAAAAATTGAAAATAAAATTAAAAATTTTTAATTCCATCAGTTTTTATTTTGACGATTTTACAATAAAATGTACACTAGATAACTATGCTTAAAGAAATAAATCATTGAAATTATTCTTTCAACCATAATATTAGTAAAAAGGAAAAACTGTACATTTCTACATACCTCAGCTTCTGGATGATCTTTCAAAGCTTTCAAAATATCTTCTCGAGATAAAACAAATAATTCCGCATAACCGACAGCACGTACATCAGCTGTTCGTCTAATTAGAAATTATGGTTAAAATAATCAACATAATTATTCGGTTTGGTCACTTAGTATATTTGAGGCTATAACGAGTTTACCTTAGTCGATAAACGCGAACGAGACAATGAACCAGCGTCCAGGAAGGCTACTTTGAATCCTCAAAATAGAGTAAGAAGGCTTTGTAAGCGTAGAAAGTATATTCTACAAACACCCAGCAATCACAGTACAATCAAGCACACAACTCTCGTTTATTTATACATCATAGAAACGTCCTTGGGACAGTTAAGAAAATAGCACACTAAAATACACGGCAGCCAATCACAGCGATAGATTTTCCTGGTGGGAAATGGAGTCTCAAGGTCAATGGATCAGCCCATGCTCGCAAACGTGAAATCCAAAATAAGGCATTTAACAAGCGAGTTCTGGAGATTTAACATCCTCAACAATTATCATATGAAATCAATTCACTCTAATTCTTAAATTATAAAATCTTATTCAGAGAAAGAATCTTATGAAGATTGTTGAGTCAGTTTATTGAAATGATGAATTGTTCAGTGTTAGACCATCATTGGAAAACTGGAATTACTGAACGACGTCCGTTTCGCCATGGTTTTAAGCTTATCAGTGACAATGAGCATTTACGACTCCTGCTACTCGCAGTATTCCATCATAGGATCAATCATCTCTATAATACTGTAATGAAAACTTATATAATGTACTCTTTAGTGCTCATTAGCTTCATAAAAAAATTCTCGGAGTTTGTTACGCCTGCACGTAAACGCGTCAACTTGATATACTTGAACTATTGCGGGTTTACCTAGTCGGAAACGTGAGAGCGAGGATCAAGGATCCGGTGACACAACATACTACTCAAATCCGATTAATCCAACCCCCATATTTAGTTAAAATAAGAAGACATGATATGAAGTAGAATCTGTATTCTACAAGCATCCAAAAAGTACGAGGTCCGAATCCAGAAGAGAATCAGGATCCCAGACTAGGAATCCGGGACCGAGCCCTGGTCTTGGTCCTGGTCATAAAATGTTACAGATAATGCGTATTTATACATTTTGGTCGAATAAGAAACAGCATCGAATTCTGTGGCATTGACAGTTAAGACGACCAATAGGAAGTAACATTTGAAGTGACATTGATGGTCAAGACGACCAATAAGAGCATGACCATAAAATTGACCAGTAGGAATTAACCAATAGGAACAGACCAATAATTTTCTTAGGATATTGGATGAATATCCTAACACAGAGTTCTAGTGAGAAGCTGTGACCAGAGAGTTTCAACTGTGCCATATGTGTACGAAGACAACAAGTGAAATCTCACAATACCTTGGATTGATTGAATTTCAACATCAACAAGATCGGATACTGTCTCAGTGGTCATAAGATTCAGCGCTCGCGTACGAAACACCGAACATTCTAAGTTTAATTCCCCATTTCTTTGAATATAAAACAAGTCAGAAGTATTTTCATAGTCTATTTGATTACTGAAAAACAATAATCCAAATCTTACAATCCTGCGGGGTGCAGAAGTCGTGGATGCGCACTGCCACTGATGAGTCCCATACCAGGACGATACGGCCGTCCAGTGCTTCCAAGTTTCTAATGGTGGTCTAACATTGATGGATTCATGGTTACAAATAAAAAACTTAACAATCTTCACAACAACCCCGCAATGCAGTTACATGTGTCCACTAGTGACTAGCTTGGTGAGGAATTTTTTCCGAGTTCTAGTGGGAAGTCGTGACCAGTGAAGTCCAAACCTGTTCAGATGTATACAGAGTATGAGGTTGCGCAACTCCGTGAATTTGATCAAGTTAAACATTAATACCATTAGATACCGGCTCAGTGGTCTAACGTTTAGGTCGTTCGCGCACAATACCGAAGTTCCTGGGTTCGAATCCGGCGGGGTGCAGGAGTCGTGGATGCGCACTGCCACTGATTAGTACCATACCAGGACGGTACGGCCTTCCAATGCTTCCATGTTTCCTAATGGTGGTCTAACATTGATCGATTCATAGTTACGAATAATACTTACAGATTTTAAAAACTAAATGCGAACTGATCACAAATAGAGCTAATTGAAATATCCTTTTTTTAAAAAAAAAATATGCCACATCATTCATGAAATAATAACACAACACTAATTGATCATATTCACGAAATCCTCCTTTCACATTAAATGAACGAACTATTTCGAAAGTTTTGATTGTGTGTCTGTGTGTGTGTGTGGGATTGTGATACCAGCTAGCTGTTGTTTTTTTTTGAGTCAAAATATAATTACTACTAAGTAAATTTTAATAAAAAAAATAGTATAATTAAAATTCATTATCTTTGTTTTTCTATATATGAATTAATGATATCGTGTGCTGTGCTTTTTTTATACAATCGAAGAAAAAGAAAGATTCATGAGACAATCGAAAACAGCTGTAGTTTTATAAAAGTAAATATACGGAAATTGAAATTTGTCTTTGTGAAAAAAAAGTCTGCAAATTCAATGTTCAATTGTTTTAATTTTCATTGTTTGTTTATTTATCTTCTTAGAAAAAATAGTAGAAGTTAACTGAGTAAATATTGTGAACAGATCTTATCTAAGGCTTATATTGTTTTGTAAACACAAGAGAATTTCGTCGAAATGAATTGTTTTTTCACTTGAAGTTTCTTGTTTCATAGTAGTAGTTCAATGGTTGTGTTGAGAAAGATGTGACTTTTGGATTTAATCTATATAACTGTAGTTGAAAATATCATAAAATATGCTCATGAGTAACTAACTAGCATCGTGAGGAAATTCTCAGAGTTCTAATGAGAAGACATGATCAACCTGTCGGGTGTAGGTATTAACTACCAAAGATATTAACACCGTCGGAAATCGACACAGTGGTCCAGAGGTTAGACGTTCGTGCACAAGACCGAAGGTCCCGGGTTCGAATCCTGCGAGGTGCAGAAGTCGTGGGTGAGCACTGATGATGAGTCCCATACCAGGACAAAACGGCCGTCTAAACAGTACTTCCAGGTTTCTTCTAATGGCGGTCTAACGATGATTGGTTGATGATTTCGAATGTGTAAAAACACTAATCTGTGTAGGTCTAAATCATTGACGGAATCCTTCAACTCATTTGATTGGTAAAGTTTCTACTCAGATCATCCAAATATTGATAGATATGTTCATAAAACGTGTTCATCATGGACTACATCAGTGTCACTCTATAAGTGTACTTTCCGTAATGAGACAGAATCTATTAGCCGTACAAAAGGATATACTTTCTTGAAAAATCTCAAAGGATTAATTCGTCTAACTCTAATGGTGTACTCACTAATGACTAGTATAATGAAGAATTTCTCAAGGTTCTATTGAGAAGACGTGACCAGTAGAGTTCAATCTTGTCAGGTTAAGGCAGTAACACATGTAGGTGCGTTTGCTCAAAATACTTAGATTGATCAGAATTAGACAATAATACTGTTATATCCCAGCCTATTAGTCTGTAGGTTAGGCATTCATGTACAAGACCGATCTTGGGTCTCGAATCCGGCGAGTTGCAGTAATCGTGGATACACAGTGTCGATGAATCCCGTACCACGGCCATCCAACGCTTACAGGTTTCTAATGGTGGTCTTACAATAACTGATTTATGATTTCAGTAGTAAACATAGTAGAATGTTCAAATTTCTGGAGAAAATTTCAATTTTTGTCAATGTTTAATAATCAATCCACTTACTTATTCACTCCATCCACATTGAGTACACCGATTTCACCGAAGAAGTCACCAGCACTCATCCTTGATAAAACTTCGTTGGAATCACTAACAACAGTAATTTATTCAAAATATTAATGCTAAGTATTGTTATTAGTAATAAAAGAGCTCACTGTGAATATTGTTAAATAACAAGAAGTAACACCATTAGCAACAACTTACTGTGGGAGAGAACGAATCAGATTCCAGTGGAGGAGGAAATCAGGAAGAAGCGGTGGAGTTGGTGGATAGGACACACATTACGAAAAACACCTAACTACGTCACAAGACAAGCCCTCACATGAAACCTTCAAGGTACAAGGAAAAGAGGAAGGCCAAGGAACACAATACGCCCGAAAAATAGAGAAAGATATGAGAAGAATGAACAAAAACTAGGAAGAACTGGAAAGGAAAGCCCAGGATCGAGTTAGTTAGAGAAAACTGGTCGGCAGCCGATGATCCATTGGGGGTAACAGTCGTAAGTAAATAAGTAAGTAAGTAACAAGAAGTAAATTTTATTTATCGCATTTTTCCATATTAAACCGATGAAAGATTTCGTTTAAGGAATGAAGATTAGGTTCATACTGAAAAATGAATTCTTAATGAAATCGATTGCTTTTTGTTATGGCGTACACGTAATAAATTAGAAGTCATTCTCTTTTGTTATTGTTAAAATTTTTGTTTGCTAAGGAACAGTAGCTTGATGGAAAAGAGTGGTCCAAATTTTTAAGCACTGAGCTCCAGGTTTGAACTACATTCGAAGTATTTCCGTTTACTCAAATAAGTAGCTACACTAACCATCATACTCAAAGTTTGTGGCTGTCAAGAAATTATAAAAATCTGTTTCTAGTAAAACTGGTTTCCAAATAAACAAAGATTGGGTTTGGTCTGACAGCCATTAATTCATAAAACTGTTAACAAATTTTGAACTTGGTCAGTTCATTCACCAGATACTATCAGAAACAGTCTACTGTCGGAGAGAATAGGCCAGATTACATAGGAGGAGGAAATCAAGAAGAAGCAGTGAAAGTGTATAGAACACATACTGCAGAAAGTATGCAATTACATCACAAGACCAGACCTCACTTCCAACCCTCAAGGTCAGGAGGGTCAGAGAGGAAGGCTAAGAAACTTACATTAAGTTGAGAAATCGAGAAAAATACAAGAAGGGCAAACAAAAATTTGACAGAACTAGATATGAAAGCCCAGAACAGAGTAGGTTCTAGAGAACGCTAGACACGTACGTGGCTGATGCTACATTTGGGATGATAGGCGTCAGTAAGTAAGTAAGTAAGGTCAATGCTTATAACAAGTTTAGTTCATTACTTAGCTGAATTCACCGATGCATCTTAACGCATTGATTTCGTTGTTTATGAATACAAATTAAAATTTACATACACAATATTCACTGGTGAACATTATAAGAAATGTAGATCATCCCAGTTAAATAATAATTATACATTCTGTCAGCATACATTAACAACAGTACTGATATTGTAAATCAGTAGTAGTTGTAGTAATAGCTAAATAATAATTTCAACTATTCTTAAATCTCTAATCTTCTCAAAATTAACAAAACACTAGTTATCATACGAAAGTTTAAGATCAATGTGGTTTCGTTTTCATAAACTCTAAGAAGCCATGAACACTGATAATAGACTATTTGTAGTGTGTCGATTTATTGCTTGTCCTTGATCTTTCGTGATTAGCTTGTCCAGGCAATCGTTACTAAATAGCGTCTGACGGTTTATAAATCAGAAGATGAACTCGTAGTGATGAATACGTTTATTTTTTTTGGGACACACCACGAAGCGAAGCGAAGAAGCAGTGAATAAAAGGGATGAAGCAACGTGAAATGGAGAAGCGCGTTGGAGAAGGCTAATGAGCCAACTCAAAGAGATAGAGCATGACTAAGAATATATAGTCAGACAAATATAAGACACGCATGCAACAAGCGAAATAGGCACACATGAATAAGAGCGACGAATAGTTGACAAGGTCAAATGGCAATTGGGACACATCACGTGAGCTCATACAAACCAAATTCAAGGTAAGCGAGCTCGAATATATGTGGAGGTACTACAAATTAAACCATAGACAATTCAAAAAGGAGAATCTAACAATTATGCATTTTTGCTTGTAACCCATGCTATCTCAGTGAACTCACCTTATCACTTCCAGTACACCATCAGCAATGATAAATATTTCACGAGCTATTTCACCTTTACGACATATTAGATCACCAGGTGTAAAAACTAGTGGACGCATTTTCAAAACAATATCATGCAGAAATTCTGGTCTGCATTCATGAAATATGGTTACCTGTGATGATAAAACAAGTGTTCAAAGATGACATAATAAAGATTATTTGTCAGGCAGTATTGGATCAGGACATAAACTAACTCATCAAATCTGAATATAGTGATATTTTTTTCCAAGAACTGATCGGAATTTATTCATTGTCGAAGAATAATTGTAAAACTGATGTTACGCTGGTCTCATTTCGACTTTTATTCAACAGGTTGCATTGTAGATAACGATCTACCAAATGACTCAATCTATCATAAATAATGTTTTGATTTTCTGTCGTTTTAGGCGACGAACGAAAAGTGCTACACCGACTTCTCTTAGTAGCTAACACGTATCTTCAATACTGAAGAAAGCAATGCTTTCAGTTGGATCTTCACTTGCCTCTGTCAACAATCGTGACTACGCAAATATATCATTTTCAACTAGAGCCTTGGAGATTTATGTTTTTACATATTTCTTATCATCAATCAATCATTGTTAGACCACCCTTAGAAACCTGGAAGCACTGGATGACCGTTTCGTCCTGGTATGGGACTCAACAGCAGTGCGTAACAGTGCTCACTAGTGACTAGCTTCGTGAGGAAATTCTCGGAGTTCTAGTGAGAAGACGTAACCAATGGAGTTCAACCTTGTCGGTTGTAGGCAGTACCTACCAAAGACAAATGGGTGAGGTCGCGCAAAATCCCTAGATCAATCAGAGTTAGACATTAACACCTTTGGATGCCGGCACAGTGGTCCGATTATTAGGCGTTCGCTCACAATCCCGAAGGTCCCGCGTTCGAATCCTGCGAGGTGCAGGAGTCGTGAATGCGCACTGCTAATGAGTCCCATACCAGGACGAAACGGCTTTCTTCCAGTGCTTCCATGTTTCTCATGCTGGTCTAACAATCATTGATTTATGATTTCAATTGTATAAAAATATATCATTAGCTAAAACGCATTGTGATAAGTCGATTCAATTAAATCAACCTATCTTGTTAGAATTAATTTTTGATAGCTAACTAGCTAATTACGATTTAAGTATTTCCTGTGTGTTTTCCAATTTATATACGGTTTGGTGGATGTGAGCTCAACAATTCCGTGGCAGTCAGTATGTGACTTACACCTTGTCCTGATAAACGTTACTAGATAACATACAACTATGTCCAAATAGGCAAACGAATGCGAAGCATTTGAAGGCCTACATTATTGCATCACACACAAAGATCACCGAAACTACCACCGGCATGAGAAGTGTAAATGATATGCAATTGCCAAAGTACAAACGAATGAGCGAGACAATTCACTTAAAATATACAAAGACATACATAGCAAAATCAATGTTCAATCAGTTTTTTTTTCAATTTCAATCAATGCGTATAATAATGAGATAAATAACTAACTTTTTTCAATGTTTCCAAATTTACATTTAACGCTAATTCAGTTTTCAATTTATCTGGTAATAAACCAATTGTGTTAATATCTTGACCACCACTGCCGCAACCTCTAATTCATAAGAGTTTGAAAACAAAAAATACCATTTGCAATTGAATGAAAGAGAGAGCAAATCAATATATGTGAATTATTTTTAGAAAAGAAAAAATCTTAATTGTGTTGTAGTGTACCTGCCGATTTCGACATCGGGTTCACTCACCATTATTGTGTAAACTGGCGAGCGAATGAGCGACTGAAGCAAATCGTATGAAGCGATGTGGAAAAGGCTAATGAGCCAACCTACTTGGATTACAATACGAACGAATGGGCAAAGGAAGCGATGTGGAGAAGGATAGTGAACCAACTCAAAGAGATGACTAAGAACATATAGTCAGACAAATATAAGACAGACATGCGACAAGCGAAATAGGCACACGTGAATAAGAGCGACGAATAGTTGACAAGGTCAAATGACAAGTGGGACACGTCATGTGAGCTCATCATACAAACCAGACAATAATAAGAACGAATGGTACACATAAATTGTAGCAATACAAATTATGACTTGGTTAAATAAAGTAATCGAAAGGGCTTAACCAAATTAAATGTAAGTGAACTCAAAGATATGTGGAGGCCCTACAAATGTTTACATTATTTTTAGTTGATGCGATACCAACTTACTGAACAATAATGAAATGACAATTATTATTTTATTACACTATGCCTCGATGTTTGGAAAACTGTACAAACATTTAAAAATGAAACAGATTTTATTAGTGAACAAGACTACTGACTAAAAGTTAAAGAACTCTTCTGTCTGAATGTTAGGATATTCATCCAATATCCTAAGAGAATTATTGGTCAAATCCTATTGCTCCATTTCTATTGGTCAAAATTATGGTCTTTTTAACTGTCAAAGTCAAATACTTCAATATTGTCTCTTATTGGTCATCCGGACTATAAATGTCACTTCAAATGTTGTTTCCCTATTGGTAGTCTTAACTGTCAATGCCACGGAATTCGATGCTGTTTCCTATTCGACCAAAATGTATAAATACGCATTATGTGTAATGTTTTATGACCACGACCACGACGAGGACCAGGGCTCGGTCCGGGATCCCTAGTCCGGGATTCTGATTCTCTTCTGGATTCGGACCTCGTAGTTTCTGGATGTTCTACTTCATATCAAGTTTCTTCTTCACTCATTTGTCTTCGGAGTTTACTTCCAACGGTTAACAGATTTAAACTCTTCTCATTAGAAAACCCGGAATTTCCTCACAAAACTAATCACTAGTGAGCACATTTTAAAAATTTTCAATTAGATTTATAGACATCAGTGTTTTTACACATTTAAATCATCTTTCAATCATCGTTATTCGCAAACACCTTTAGATGACGGCCCAGTGGTCCAAAGGTGAGGTGTTCACGAGCAAGACCGAAGGTCCTAGGTTCGAATCCTGCGTAGTGCAGTGATCGTGAATGCGCACTGTCGATGAGTATCATACCAGGATGAAAGGGTGGTCTAGTGCTTCCAGGTTTCTAATGATAGTCTAACACTGACTGATTAATGATTTCAATGTGTATAGCTGAAACAGGATTTTACATAAATCAAACTGTAATTTTATGAAGTTCGAATTCATTACAACTTGGCGTATTTTTAAACTTTAGGCTAGATAATTCACATGAAATCATAATCTGTTGATTAGTACAAAAATAAATGAATTACGAAGCCTTCTTGCAATCTGAACATAATTATCTTGGTGAAATTTCTCTGTCTAAGACGTTCAGAACATCTAGCTCAGAGAATAGAGCAGAGAAAGAACAGTATAAAATCTTTTTCATCGGTTTGATGTTCATTTACTATTTTTTATTCTGGTGCTCATTTTTGTACCAATAATTTATATTTGTATAACCATTTTCATTATAAACTCCTCTGAACTAAAACCAAACTGAAATTCCCCAAGAGGAGAATGCTATTTCACATAGACTAGGAATAATTAACTGAAGAAGGATTTCATTGTGGTCAACTTGATCTCATTTGCTCACACGGGTATGAGGGCTTTTATCAGTTCTCGCCTGTCCACACCATGGAAAGTACTGCTTATTACAATTATCCAACAATAAATTTATGATTTACAAAATTGATTCAATTCTATCCTTCACATTTGCTTCAAATAACGAATCAAATACGTTTAATCATGCTTAAAAATTATCAGTCATTTTATTTACTACTTAAATTTGTAAAAAGTAGTTAAAATTAATGACTGAAATTTTTCGACATGATGGATGTATGCATCCACTTGACATCAATTGAGGAGTTATAATCACAAATTAAAATTATATCAATCATATATTAGATATCGATCGATTACAAATATGTAGATATTCATATATCTTTAAGGAATTTTTTTTTTCGATTCACTCACTTAGACCATGCATAGTCATACCATCTTAATATACGACTTTGTAAATCTTTATCCACTGAATTCGCCCGCATGTAACTTTTTGCATGATCCTATTAAAATGTTGTAAAATCAAAGTGAAAAAAAATAAAAGTAATCAATAAATTAGGGGAATAAAAATTTTGTGATTTATTGTCTGAATTACTTCTATTTAATTTTTTTGTTTGTATACAACCATTTCAAACACAAATGAAATTATATCATAAAATTGAGTGATTTCAATGAAATTTCTAGTCACTTGAAAAGTTATTACCATTAATATAATTCATTTCGTTCAGTATTTTAATTAAAAAAGGAATGATGTACAACAACAATTCATCTAAGTGCAAACGGAAATTAATACTAATCATTTCACTGGTGGAATCTGAAGCACAAAACAGTTGGATTCATCAATCTTAATGAATCTGTATGTTACTCAGTAAACTGAACCACTGCTAGTCCCTAACCTGGATAAAATAGAAGGGTTGTGCATGGGAGTGGTAGCCTTATATCGTTAAGATGTAACACGCTAAAATAACGATGTCAAGAAAAAAGTAATTCAAATCATTGAAAATCTGTCCTGGCAGTTAGAAAGTCTTGATTTAGAAGAGTTATGGTGTGTGGAGATGAAAGCATATTTCTTTCGGAATTCACGAGGCCATTGACCATTCTGACAACCAAGGCAACCATTCTTTTAGTTACGTGGAATGTTCTAACATTGTGGGAGACCAGAAGACCATTCTACGTTGCTGCAGAAATGAGAAGAAACAACCTAGAGTTGATTGGAATTTGTGGAAAGCATTGTACACAGGTTGAACAACCAAGACTAGCTTCAGAAGATCTGCTGTTGTTCACCGACCATGTAGAAGAAAATACCTCACAAACACAAGGAATCTCACTGATGCTTTCCAAACAATTACACAAGACACTAACAGGATGGGAATCTCATGGACTCAGGATCATCCAGGCATCCTTCAAAACAAAGAAACAGGACATTACAATGAACGTCATCCAATGTTATACACCTACCAATGACTACAATGACGACGATAAAGATCAATTCTACGAAAGGCTGCAGTCAATCGTTGACAGATGATCATCAAAGGATTTGATGGGATTTCTGATGCGAGACCTAAATGCCAAGGTTGGCATATGAAAACATCATGGGACGACATGGACTGGGAGAAAGGAACGAAAATGGTAAGAGATTTGCAAATCCATTTGCTTTGAACAAACTGGTCATTGGCGGAACAATATTCCCACACAAACGCATACACAAAGCTACATGGATTTCATCGGGTCACACTACTGAGAAGTAAACTGACCATATATGTATCAACAACAAGTTCATAAGATCTTTAAGGACATGAGAACCAAGAGAGGAGCTGATGTAGCCTCAGATCACCACTTGCTAATGGCCAAAATGAAACTCAAACTCACGAAACACTGGATAATGGGGCAGACAACATCACAGAAAATTAATACGGCCTTTCATCGGGATACTGTAAAGTTCAACGAGTTCAGTATAGCCCTCACCAATAGGTTCCAGGCCTTTCAGGATCTACTCAATGGAGATGAAGCAACATTGGAGAACAATTGGAAAGGGATCAAGGAGGCAATCACTTCAACATGTCACAAGGTTCTGGGCCGCAGGAGATACTAACACAAGCAATGGATCTCCGTTGATACTCTTGCGAAAATTGAAGAAAGGAGGAACAAGAAGGCAGCAATCAATGTCAGCCGAACAAGAGCAGACAAAGTTAAGGCGCAAGCCGAGTATACAGAAGCAAACAGGGAAGTGAAGAAGAGCATCAGAGATGACAAACGAAAATATGTGGAAGATCTAGCAATGACGGCGGAAAAGGCTGCAAGAGAAGGAAACTTGAGACAATTGTACGATACAATAAATGAGCTATCTGGAAACTATCATAAACCAGAGCATTCAGTGAAAAGCAAAGAAGGCAAAGTAATCAACAACACTGTAGTATAGAAAAATAGGTGGGTAGAGCATTTTAAGAAACTGTTCTGTTGACCAGCTCCATTGAACCCACCGAACATCGAACCACATCCACCAACGTCCCAATCAATGTTGGCGAACCTACGATTGAGGAGGTCAGTATGGCCATCAGACAAAGCAGAGAGCAGAGAAGCAGCGTAACTAGACAACATCCCAGAAGAGGCAATGAAAGCAAGCACGATAGCAGCTGACAAACTATCGCACATTCTCTTCAAAAAGATTTGGGATGAAGAACAAGTACCAACAGACTGGAAAGAAGGATACCTGGTCAAAGAGCCTAAGCAAAGTGATCTCACAATGAAGTACTTCGTAGACGCCCAACTTTGAGATCAACATATCTAGATTTCTTAAAGATCAACCGTGTGCCGACCAAACAACAAGTAAAAAGAAAATACACACGGACACTTGAGCTAAGAGGCCAAAACTATTGATTCATCTCTGTTATTATCGTTTATTCATTAGTTCTTTCATTGAACAAAGCACATTAGACTGATTTTCTCATTTATTTGAGAAATTCCGTATTAAGGTGAACCAAATGTAATAATCTTCAGTATATTCACACTTGATTCAAACAGAACAAACAGAAAAATTAAGTAATTTTTTTTTAAAATAACAATCTATATGTTTTATATGGATGTAGGTAATATATACCAAGATTTTCTCGAATTCAGTACGATCAGCATTTCTTGTAGTAATGATATTACCAACCTGACCTGAAAATAAAAAAGAATAATAATAATAAGTATATCAGTGAAAAGAAACAAACTTGGTTCAATATTCAATAGATTAATATGAAATTGTTTTTGACAAATGAATCTCTGTGTATCTGTTTGTTTATATATATGTGTTAATACATGAACTGATTAGAGTAATTTTACAGAGTGTCAACAGTGAAATAAATCGGGTTGCTCAGAAGTTCATTAGAGAAATCATTTTCACAATGAGGTTTTGCCAGTTCTTATATTTCACATCAGTCAATATATGATGACCTTAATAGTAAGATAACCAAAGATTGTATTGAACAATTGTGATGTAAGCCATAACCGAAATCCAACATTCCTCACAACACCATCCTTCCAAGATATACTCTAATCGTTCATTACTAGTTAGTTCTAATTTAAAAACATGCTCTTCAAATAAACTGAAATGACCAATTGTTTGAATAAACTGACATTTAGGTTATTCAATATTCAAACACATTTGAAATTATCGAAATACTGAAAAAAAAAAATTGAACGTGACACATGGTATGAGAAAAATCATAGAAAAACCCGATAAATTTGTAAGCAACATTTCGTTTAGATTTCGTTTAAGTTTAATGCTTCAAAAATTTTTCTTAGTGTCTATTTCAGGTCATCACTTCTTCTTCTATTCTAGTTATTATTGATTAGTTACGTGTAGTTTTCAAACTACACAATATTCATATGCATGCCTTCTAAGTGTTCTTCTATTCATAGATTTCGTGATGTAAAACAAAGTTTGAACGCATACACGACATGGAATTCATTCGTAGTGATTTTCGCTTGATTAAGTTAAACTTTTGAATTGTATTTTATAGTGAATAACGTAGAGTATACAATAACACTGAAAAAATAAAATTTTGATGAATGATTGTTTAAGTGATCAAAGTTAGTGAAAATCCATTGGTCAGTGATCGTGTTCCTCTTTACGACCTTAAACAATTTGATTAGACAGATAACCATTTTAGAAATAAAAAGAACTTTGAAAAAAATGAATGGCCGTTTCCTTTTAGGGTAGAGTTTTGGAGGTTTGTGTTTTTACACATTTAAAATCATCAATCAATCAATCATTGTTAGACCACCATTAGAAACGTACGTGGAAGCACTGGACGGCCGTTTCGTCCTAGTACGGGACTGCGTTGTGGATGCGTACTGCTGATGAGTCCCATACTAGGACGAAACAGCCACTGTCCAGTGCCTCGAGGTTTCTAATGGCGGTGGTCTAACAATGATTGATTGATTGATGATTTCAAACGTTTCCTTTTAGTTGGAGAATCTTTAATATCCCTATACATCCATGACTTCTCATTAAGTACATCTAGACCTGTGACATGATATCCATCTATCCGATGACATGTTGGTTATGTTAAATTAACTCAAAAGAACAAAATTTATGATCTACAGTTGGCTCATATCTAAATTTTATAATTAAAAGAGAAAGAGACTGAGTTCCGATCTTCCGTTGTGTTCGATATTTTTTAGTACAATCAACCATGAAGCTGATCATGATGAGTGAACAAATGAACTAACCATGTGAATGAATCAACGCGCACACACACACATAAGTACACAATTTTGTTAGTGAAAAAGAAAAGAATCGTCTCTAGACTATGTATTCGCTATGTATTACTTCAGCCAATAATTTATTTCGAAATGAATAATTCAAGGAACTATTAGTTTCAGGCTCTCGTCAAGTGATGTTATCATCTGTGAACTCAATTTTTTGCACAGATACACTTTCGTGATGCAACAATTTTTGAAGAAATCAACTTCACGATAATAATTTGTCATGTTCAATGAAATTTAATATAATTTAAAGTGGATGGAATGTCAGAAGTTACTATTACATAACTAATATCACCATAAACGTTGTAATATGGGTAATAGTATGCTTTGAAATGTTTTCGATTTCAAATTTAATTGTAACGCTAAAATTCAGAGAAGAATCAATAAACTAAACATATCCTGGTTGTCTTCTTGTTCGTTTTTTTTGCGAAAATTCTGTAATCTATCCAACCTAAACAGAATACAGTTAATTTTGGAAGTTTATAGCTAAAATTCTGTAAAGTTTCAGTTTCCGAATGTTATCTAATAGAATTTATCACGAATAAATCTTAGAAACATAACTTTTCGGCTGGTTTATATTCGCATCTATGGATTGACGAAAGAAAATCTTTCAAAAACCACAATCAATTAACGAAGGTGATCAATTAAATATCCTCATAACTTGAAACAGTTCACGAATGAGACACAACAACATATAATTGGTTTTACTTGTTGCGTTAATAAAAATCACTATATAAGCGTTACAACTCCACCTGGAGCTATTCAACGGTTGCTGCAGGTCCCAAACCCGGATAAAGAAGGAGGGTTGACAACATCATCTCGTAGAAATCCAACTCACTATCAAAAAAACGCTAACAAGAAAAATCATTCGCAGGTGAGCGTCCCCCCGCCCACCAGTTTTCTCCAACCAAATCTGTCCTGGGCTTCCGTTTCCACTTCTGTCCAATGTTTGTTCATTTTTCTATTGTTTGTCTCCATTTCTCGGCGTAATGTGTTCCTTGGCCTCCCTATTTTTCTTTCGCCTTGAGGGTTCTATGTGAGGGCTTGACTTGTGAAGCAGTTAGGTGCTTTTCGTAGTGTGTATCCTATCCACTTCCACCGCTTCTTCCTGATTTCCTCCTCCACTGGAATCTGACTTGTTCTCTCCCACAGTTCGTTGTTGATGATAGTGTTTGGTCAACGAATACGAAGTATTTTGCGTAGACAACTGTTAATAAACACTTGTATCTTCTGGATGATGGCTTTGGTAGTTCTCTAAGTTTCCACTCCATACAGTAGAACTGTCTTGACATTTGTATTGAAAATCCTGATTTTGGTTTTGGTTGAGAGTTGTTTGGAGTTGTAGATATTTTTCAACTGTAGAAATGCAGCCATCGCTTTGCCGATCCGTGCCCTCACTTCTGCATCGGATCCACCTTGATTGTCAATTATGCTGCCCAGATATGTAAAGGTGTTAACGTCCAAGAAAGCATCTCCATCAAGAGTGATTTGGTTGGTGCATGTTGTGTTGCATCGGAGAATCTTGCTTTTTCTTTTATGTATGTTGAGACCTACTGCTGCAGAGGCTGCTGCTACACTGGTCGTCTTCTCTTGCATTTGTTGTTGCGTGTGAGATAGAAGAGCTAGGTTATCTGCAAAGTCCAGATCATCTAGCTGCGTCCTAACTGTCCAGTTGATACCGTGCTTCCCTCCAGATGTCGACGTCTTCGTAATCTAGTCGATGACCAGGAGAAAGAGAAAGAGTGAGAGTAAGCAACCTTGCCTCATACCGGTCTTCACCTCAAAGGAGTCTGTTAGCTGTCCTTCGTGTACGATTTTGCAGTTGAATCCATCATAAGAATTGCGTATGATGTTAACTATCTTCTCAGGCACACCGTAGTGTCGAAGAAGCCTCCACAGTGTTTTCCTATCCACGCTATCAAATGCTTTCTCGTAGTCGATGAAGTTGTGGTAGAGTGCCGAGTTCCATTCTATTGATAACAGGCGTAAATAATTAACTAAGTAATATATTAACGTTTTAAAATAATCACTATCAACAGTACTAATCAAACTTCCGCCTAGAATTTTAATCAGTACACATTAAAAAAAACACAATATTAACTACTTCTCAAAGGAAATTTCAAAAAATTCTCTGAAACATCTTTCTTACTCTTTGTTTAAATTTCAAAATTATTCCGAATAAAAATTAAAAAATGAAGTAAAACCAATCTTTGTATAATTTGTATCGAACTGATTAAGTTGTTTAAATGCACAAAGTTAAATAAATTATTTTTTTTCTCCAAACAACAACATAAGAAACACGATTTTTAAAGTTGAGTAAAACTGATTTATGTTTTAACAATAGAAATGCAAGTGTTCTCAAATTATGTGAAAATTTGTTAAATGATAAATGAATCTTTTGAGAGCGTAAAAACAAACAATTGTAAGTAGAATTGATGTTGTTTTTTCAGGACTCAAAGGTACAAATAAACCTGTAATTGGTTATTAGTCCATGATAAAGCGTTTGTAACTGGTAACTTCGTAGACTTTGAAGTTTGGTGATATAAATCAAAACGTCATGGATAATAACATATTCTTTAAGAGAGTAAGTATGTTTAAGTGAAATGCATCGGCTAGTATGAAACATTATTCATTTTACAATTAGATTCATTTGAAACATTGTTATGGGTAAATTTGTGATCGAAGCGATTATGCCCACATATTTGGGTATATTACCCGAAGACACTCAATATCATTGAGTTCTCGTTCAAATATTGTTAAATGTATTTTACACATTTGAAATCATCAATCAATCATTGCCTGACCCTAATTAGAAGAAATCTGGAAGCACTGGAAGAAAGCCGTTTCGTCCTGGTATGGGACTCACCAGTGGTAGCGCGCATCCGAGACTCCTGCATCTCGCAGGATTCGAACTCGGGACCTTCGGTATTGTGCGCGAACGCCTAACCATCGGACCACTGGGCCGGCATCTAAAGGTGTTAATGTCTAACTCTGATTGATCTAGGGATTTTGCGTGACCTCACTTATTTGTTTTTGGTAGTTACTCCCTACACCCGACAGGGTTGAACTCCATCGGTTGTGGATGCGCAGTACTGATGAGTCCCATACCAGGACGAAACAGCTTTCTTCCAGAGCTTCCAGGTTTCTAATGATGGTCTATCAATGACTGATTGGTGATTTCATATGTGTAAAAACACGAATCTCCAAAGCTCCAACTGAAGGAACACATTTTAGTCGACTAGAACAAAACAAACTTTTATTTGACCAGTTAACAGATCTACAAATGTACCGTCAATGGGCAAGAGTAGTGTTACGTTGGTTTTCAGGAGATTCAGATACTATCAAAGTGTTAAGACTACAATCAAAATGAACCTTTGGTCTTATTGAAAACCTTCAGGTCTGTATAGCAATATAGCGCATAGTATGTACATACATCGTATAACATAGGCTCATTCGTTCATTCAAACGCTTCATTAATCCAGAAACAAAAGAAATATATACCTTTGGTAAAAACGATGTTTATAACTATTATCATTCGTTTTGTTTATCTGATTTCGGTGTAATTATTCTGAAATTTTATTTTCATCAGTCATCATTTTATGATCGACTATAATCCGCTGCATGTTTCGATGTGTGCTTTTCAACACGAATCAAATAAGTTTGCAGTTTTATCACACTCTGTATGATTGATTTTCATTGTTTCAATTTACTGAGAACTGACATCCTTTTAAGATTGTAAATTCAAGTTTTTCATGGAAATTCCAACTGAAAACATGTTTTAGATACAAGCTACGGGACTTTGAAGAAATCGAGACAAGACTGTTGTACGAAACCATGGGATTATCTAAAATTTCAATTGCTGAGATTATTTCAAAGGTTTCTATTCAGTTGGCACCCGATTTCTATCAAACTGATCTTTCGAATATTTATAAAAACAATCGATTACTGTACCATTCTTTACCAAAAAGCGCTTGCGGATTTCAATTCGTCCGCGTTTTTAGTCATAGTCATCGAAACATGATGACTGATTTGAACATTGGATTTAGAACAAACTGATTGCGAATAATCATTGTTTTAAAGTCGCACAACATAACCGCTGTCAGATCTGATATGATAAGAAAACCGTTATGATAACTGGGTATGTTTTTTAAATACACGGATTATATCGTCATCAGGCTTTACTCTAATATACGTGAGTATTAATATGAAAATGTTAAACCAATCAACGCAATCTGAGTCATAATCACATATAATATTTTTGGAACAATGAATTGATCAATTTTAGACCACCGTTAGAAGCCTAGAAGCCCTGCACGACCGTTTCGTTCTGGTATGGGACTCTTCAGCAGTGCGCATCCACGACTCCTGCTCCCCGCAGGATTTGAACCCAGGACCTTCGGTACTGTGCGCAAACGCTTAACCATCAAAAATGTGTAACTTATCAATCTTCACAGCCCCGTAATGCAAACTACATATAATAGGCAAAAGTAAAAGTGGATAGTAGGAAGACAGGTGTACTGATAGTAGTAAGAAAATTATAAAATATGATAACTAAAGTTTTATCAATAGAGTAGGTCAATGGTGGCTGAATAGACTTCAAATAATCGTCAAAAAACATCAAAACCATTACGCAATAAGCAAATGTGTAAAAACAAAAAATATAATGTCAAACGTTAGTTACGTCATATCCAGCCACGGAAGAGATAGGGGTGTCACGAATTTCTTCTGAACACATAAACTGGGGTTGAATGTACGTATTCCTATAGCTTCTGCAATGTGCAGGAGACGGGAGCGTACGCGTACGATAAATGATGGAGGTATACGACAGATCACCCGAAAAGATCTAGATTTATCTACAATGTGACCACTATCTGCCAAGTGTGCTAAGATAGAACTGCGTATTGTTTTTGACTGACCCTTTGTAAACCATGCTGGGAGATGTTCACTCATTCGTTGGGCAAGTTGCCTGGAAGTACGCTCGATATAACTATCTCCACAGGAGCAGCTGAATTTGTAAATGTACATTGAGGAGGCCAACTCAGGTAACTTATCCTTCGTTTGAGTAGATATCGCTGGTCGACAGGAGAATGTCAATGCAAGTTTGGCATCGTTGAATGTTCTATTAATTACTCTCATTAATCTGTCCTGCAGAATATCGCAGGCCACATCTCCGTTGAATTGTAACTTCATAAATAAAGACTTCTTTTAGGCGGTCGAAGCCACCGACTTCCGTTTTACGGCAAAACATATACTCGAATCGCCTTGATTGGTTAAATATTCATGTATATTAGAGTAAAGCCTGATGACGATCTAATCGAAAACAACAATATTGTTCGCTTATTATCTATGTTGTTCTAATTTTCACAAAGGGGAATCTTTCAAACATAGATTATGTTAATTACTGTTCAAAATTTATCATTTACTTACCTACAATTGTAGCAAATACAAATACTCCAGTCAAATAGGATACAATTGTGAATGTAAGCCTGAAATCGATTGAAAAAAGGGGGTAAAAAGAAACGGGAAAATAAAACAATTTGCACTGATTTCACCTTGTACTAACTGACAATAACAACATTACCTCGAACGGATCTCACTAGTGGTGAGTTTATAACAACACATTAGACAAGTTTCGCATGCATTCAAGCGAAAAAAAGTTATAGAATTTCATATAGCTGACATTCTTATTTTTTAAAAAAAAATGTTAAATTTTGACATGTCGTCACAAAAGACAAAAACAGTGAACTGAGGACATACATGATTCGAACGAAACCAAACCAGTAAAGTATGTCACAACAATGACCAAGACATTGTCAATCAAATAATTAACTACAGTGATGAAACCACCACTGTGCTTCATTTCATAACAATCATAGGTTTTTTGCGCACAAAAAACGAAACATAATGTTTTTTTATTTTACAAAGAAAGGTTACATGCAGCATTACGAACGACATATAGGAGGATGTCATTGAAACAAGTACAGCAGGAAAGATTGATTGACATAGAAACTGTCAAACAATAGTTAAGTTTAGATTGAAAATCGTTTTTTTACAGTATATTTGCGGTAATTTAGTCAGAAATAAATGTTGCACTGACAGTAGAAGTATAAACGGTATAGAAAATGTCAATCTATAGAAACCCATATCAATTTCAGAGACGTCAAGTCAAGTCAGACATTCTACAGTAAATGCCAGACCGGTGGTGAAAAAGCTAGGCTTTCGCACGCAAGACCAAAGATCTTAGGTTCAAATCCTGCAGGAAGACAAACTCGTGAATGGACATCGCTAATGAGTCCCATACAGAGACAAAACGGACGTCTTTCAGTATGCCTAGGTTCTTGATGGTGGTCAAACCAGGATTCATTCATGATTTCAGTAATTTTACACTATACTATTGAATCAAATCTGAAGAAAGAATAAAAAGTCTATCTGTCTTTTTCTCGACGAAGCTAATCAGATTCGTAATATCCCAAAACGTTACTTTCAATGTTCTTGATGAATATCGATCAATGTGAAATCTTGAAAATTGAAAAATTATTCAGATACTTTATTTGACTAAACAACGCATAACAAATAGGTTGTAAATCAAATTGTGAATTTGTAAATAAGTTCAATGTTTCAATCTTTGCGCTAACTTTTTGTTTGAAATGCTAAAATTTACTCAACCAATTGTTTACATGTTTATTTGATGATGAACATTTTTAAAATATTTTGTAAATGTGTTTCATTGAAAATAAATCATAAATTTATATTGCCTATTTTGATTAAAATAATAAGTAATATGTGATTCATTAAAGTATTAGATTATTTAATGAGTGAAATTTCCAATTTTTATAATCTGAAAAAAATACTACTTAGTAAAATCGGAAAACCATATCGTAAATCGTTAATTTGCAAAATATCAGTTCATCATATCGAACTGGACTGTTCCTGTTGCAAAACATCAACAATCCATTGTCATTACTATTCATGTGTTTCATACAAATTCCATTGTGTTCTAACTCTTCCTTTCTCTTGATCTTCCCCCATCTTCTGCTGCCAGACATCACGTTGACACTCACGTCATATACTACTTATAAGTAGCTCACACCACAATACTACCATACATTCAATGTTCAATTAGTGTTTGCGGATAATTTTGAAACTTGAAAAATAAAACAGATTTTGAGTATAAATGATCGTTTGTGACGATGAATAAGTTTTGAATTTTTGTTATTCAGCTTATCGTCCATTGAATGGAGTGAATTTTATGGAGACGAACATTGTCGACTATCATCATAAGAATTAGTAAGCTTCTTATACACGAGATTTTAAATTCGTCACAGATCTAAGCAAATAAGTATAGTGTTAATGATATGCTTGAAACTATTACGATTTCAACTTACTCGGTAAATGGAATGAAGATCATTGATACAGTGACACGAGAGACTATTCTCATCTGATTGTCCTAAGCCAAGTTTTGATAAGGCTTAAAGAATGTATTCTACAGGCTTCCAAAAAATACGAGGTTGCTAAGCACTCAACTCAAGCTTATTTATACAAAGATAGAAACGACTTTGGGAGGGCTACGAAATAGCGTACTAAAATAATCCATCAACCAATGACAGTGAAAGATTTTCCAAGGTGAAATGTGAGCTGAAGGTCAACTAGCAGGAAAACATGGAAATTCTAAATTTCAGAAAAAAATTACAAAATTAGGACTTTTTTCAAGTGAGTTCTGGGGATGTAACGTCCGCAACAGGTTGGGAGTGGAATCCAGGACGTACGTTTCGTCATATTTGGGATTGGTCTTTTGCTGAACGTCCCTGCTAGTCTCTATCTACCTTTGCTTAAAATGCTCGTAGCCTAATGGTTTTATCGAGATGCATTGATGCCAAATTATATTCATCAGTGGGAAGACTGAAACTACCAATACAAATGAACCTTTATGGAGAGTTCTAAGCTTTCAATATTCTTCAATTTCTCTGGAATTACGTGTTATGTTGAATTATATTGAGTTAGTTGTTAGGACAGTACAGTTGTGAATAGGTACTCAGTGCTTTATAATTAATAAAAAATACCTAATTTAAGACGTTTTCACTATGTTTACACTTCTGTAACTTGCCAGTCGTAAATATGTATTACTTAGTTAGGTTTTTAATAAAAATACACTGAATAGATAGGATTAATTCATTATCGAGTGATGGAGATCGATGTATGGTACTGAAATCATGAATGTGCTTAGTAGTGGCTAGCTTTGTATGGAAATGCTCGGAGTTCTAGGGTTAAAACTTTCACCAGTAAAGTTCGACCCTGTCGCGTGTAGGCAGTAACTATCAGAGACAATCGGTGAAGTGGCGCGAAATACCTAGATTGACCGGATTCAGATCAAGAGGCTAAGCGTCCGCATACAATACCGAATGTCTTTAGCCTGCTTCCTGGGGTTTTGGGTGAGCAACTGCCAAAGAGTCCCATAGCTGGACGAGAGGGCCTTAGAGTACTTTCAGGCTTGCGACAATAGTCTAACAGTGGTCCATTCATGATTTTAATGAAATACCATTTAACTTGTACAGTTTATGACCAGTTTCCTCTGAAAAAAATGTCCCTCACAATTTAGAGGGTTGAGCATTCCACTGAACATTTGCAGTAAACATGCTTGAATACACTGAATTATAATAAATATGTAAATAAATAGAAGATAAACGATCACATTCATTCATGCAACAACTCTAAAATAACATAATACAACATTGATAAAATACGAAAGATAACCACCTATTGACCATACCATAGATTTGACACAGAATTTTCGTGATCCTGGACACTGTATAGAGAGATGTAAATATAATCAGAGAGAGAAACAGGAACAGATTAAGAACCAGTTAACATAGGTCAAGAAGTCCTGATAAGGCGTAAAATGTGTATTCTACAAGCACCCAGAAAATATCAGGTTGACAAGCACACAAATCGAGTTTATTTATAGATGATAGAAACGTCCTTCGGAAAGCCACGAAAATAGCTTACTAAAATAACACATCAGCGAATGTTAGTCAAGGATTTTCAGGGTGTGTAAAGTAATCTCAAGGTCAGCCTATGCGCGAAAACACAAAAAATCCGAAATTAGCACCGTTTCTTGGTGAGTCCCGGGAATCGAACTTTCTCAACAAAGACTTATAATTTATCTGAGAATATCGGGAGTTCTAACAGTTGAGCATCTAAATTTTGACTCGGTCTCTCATTCTTGTTTACAAAAGATGATTGAAACCTGTCAATTCTTTTCAAAGTGTATATTTTATCACTCACTTTCTTTCAAAAATACAATTTATGATTTTAGAAATGTAATAGGACATGATATATTTACTTCGAGTCCAAAGTGCTATAAATTATTTGTTTTATGCAAACACGACTGACCCATTAAAAATTATGAGTACTAATTAATGAATATAGTGCCATGAAGACCCAGTTGTAAAATGACTTGTTTAATTCTGTCACAGAGATCTGAATGCAGTTACAAATAAAACTAGAAATATCATTGTCATCGAAGTTAGAATACCAGCCTAACATTATAAATAATACAATCTGTCGAATTCAACAGAGAACTTGGTATTTATAGACATCATTTTAAGTTTCCATACCACACTGACAATAAAGAGCTGAAATTTTCAGGCCAACTCCAAGAGTAGGAGACGTAGTAACTGTACCAGTGGTGAGAGAAAAGATTCAAGATCACATTCCAAAGAAAACAGAAATCGGCTAAGAGTTCAGAAGCTTAGAACTGGCGTGAAGACTATTTATGGCTTCATGTTAGCTAAATCTAACGTATTTGAACCATGTCATCCAACATCCCTAACCACTGGTTATGATTACAACGTGGATCCTCATTTAAATAGTTCAGATCTATAAGCATGGTTTATGTCATTCATAAATGAAGATTCTCTATTTCATCAGCTAATTTACCGCACATGTTTCTTATTTGATCATCCCAAAATACACTAGCAATGCTTCACAAATACTTATGATCGAATACAAGTTACCTGCTAAGATCCTCTATTCTTAATGTCCATGTTTCCCTTCTACGAAATAGAATGGAGCGACCTTCTGTGCAGTAAGCTCGTCTCTTGAATAACAGAGGAATAACTTGCCAACATCTGAAATAATACAATTCGGCAACTGCTAAACTAGCTTCCGGTATCCATATCGAGATTTTGTTAGACAACAGGCCATCAGTGTTGATATGGGTCACAGGATAAGTGGAGCAGTCGACATGCTCAACTACCTCACTACCTACCACTCGTTGAGGAACCGAAGCAAATCAATTTTGAAGTATGATTTTGCATATGAAGAGACTCATTCTAACATTATTGATTAAGGTGTATGGAAAAACGTAATCCGAATATTGAAACGCAGTGTATAACGTAAACCGTGAGTTTGTAGTCTTTCAAGTAGGAAACTGAAAACCATTGAGATTATTATACTCCATTATGTCTTCTGTGTAAAGATTGTATGCAGGTGAATAATTTCCATGAAACCACTTGATTCTAGTGATTAGTCAGTCAAATCTCAAAAACTAAAATAGAATACTCAAAAATGTTCCTTATTAATGATCTACAGTAATCAATCAACAAAGATCCAGTTAATCATATTATATTAATACATAGTAATCATAATAAAACTTTTCACCAAGAAATGGAGACAGATATGAGAAGAATGGACAAAAATTGGACAGCGCTGGAAAGCGATGCCTAGGACAGGTTAGATTCAAGAATACTGTTCGGCTGACTATGCTTCATTGGGCGTAATATAAGAAAAGTAAGTGTGTAAGTGCATAAGTAAGTAGGTAAGTAGGAGGGTAAGTAAGCAAGTAAGTAAGGAAGTAAGTAAGTAAGTAAGTGAGTAAGTAAGTAAGTAAGTAAGTAAGTTCATAAGTAAGTAAGTAAGTAGGTAAGTAAGTAAGTTCATAAGTAAGTAAGTAAGTAGGTAAGTAAGTAAGTAAGTAAGTAAGTAAGTAAGTAAGTGAGTAAGTAAGTAAGTAAGTAAGTAAGTAAGTAAGTAAGTAAGTAAGTAAGTAAGTAAGAAAGTAAGTAAGTAAGTAAGTAAGTAAGTAAGTAAGTAAGTAAGTAAGTGATGAAGTAAGTGTAAATGTTAGTAAGTAGTTAAGTGCATAAGTAAGTTAGTAAGTAATTAAGTGAGAAGGTAAGTAAGTAAGTAGGTAAGTAAGTAAGTAAGCGAGAAGGTAAGTAAGTAAGTAAGTAAGTAAGTAAGTAAGTAAGCAAGTAAGTAAGTGTAAATGTTAGTAAGCAAGTAAGTGCATAAGTAAGTAAGCAAGTAAGTAAGTAAGTAAGTAAGTGCATAAGTCAGTAAGTAAGTAAGTAAGTAAGTAAGTAAGCAAGTAAGTAAGTGTAAATGTTAGTAAGCAAGTAAGTGCATAAGTAAGTAAGTAAGTAAGTAAGTAAGTAAGTAAGTAGGTAAGTAAGTAAGTAAGTAAGTAAGTAAGTAACTAAGAAAGTAGGTAAGTAAGTAAGTGTGTAAGTAAGTGTGTAAGTTCATCAGTAAGTAAGTAAGTAAGTAAGTGTGTAAGTGCATAAGTAAGTAAGTAAGCGCGAAGGTGAGTAAGTAAGTAAGTAAGTAAGTAAGCAAGAAAGTAAGTGTAAATGTTAGTAAGTAAGTAAGTGCATAAGTAAGTATGTAAGTAAGTAAGAAAGTAGCTAAGTAAGTAAGTAAGCGAGAAGGTAAGTAAGTACGTAAGTAAGTAAGCAAGTAAGTAAGTGTAAATGTTAGTAAGTAAGTAAGCGCATAAGTAAGCAAGTAAGTAAGTAAGTAAGTAAGTAAGTAAGTAAGTAAGTAAGTAAGTAAGTAAGTAAGTAAACCACTAAGAAAGAAGGTGAGTAAGTAAGTGTGTAAGTAAGTCTGTAAGTTCATAAGTAAGTAAGTAGGCTGCGTAATTAGGTGTGTAAGTGCATAAGTAAGTAAGTAAGTAAGGAACGAAGGAAGGAAGTGTGACAGTTGATAAGTAAGTAAGTAAGTAAGTAAGTAAGTAAGTAAGTAAGTAAGTAAGTAAGTAAGTAAGTAAGTGTGTAAGTAAGTGTGTAAGTTCATAAGTAAGTATGTAAGTAAGTAAGTAAGTGCGTAAGTTCATAAGTAAATAAGTAAGCTGCGTAAGTAAGTGTGTAAATGCATAAGTAAGCAAGTAAGTAAGGAAGGAAGGAAGGAAGTGTGTATGTTCATAAGTTAGTAAGTAAGTAAGTAAGTAAGTAAGTAAGTAAGTGTGTAAGTAAGTGTGTAAGTTCATAAGTAAGTAAGTAAGTAAGTAAGTAAGTGTGTAAGTTCATAAGCAAATAAGTAAGCTGCGTAAGTAAGTGTGTAAGTGCATAAGTAAGTAAGTAAGCAAGGAAGGAAAGAAGGAAGTGTGTAAGATCATAAGTTAGTAAGTAAGTGAGTAAGTAGGTTAGCAAGTGTGTAAGTAAGTGTGTAGGTTCATCAGTAAGCAAGTAATTAGGTAAGTAAATAAGTAAGTAAGTACGTAAGTAAGTAAGTAAATTCATATGTAAGTAAGTAAGTGAGTAGGTGATTAAGTAAGTGTAAATGTTAGTAAGTAGGTAAGTGCATAAGTAAGTAAGTAAGTAAGTAAGTGAGAAGGTCAGTAAGAAAGTAAGTAGGTAATTAAGTAAGTATGCAAGTAAGGAAGTAAGTAAGTAAGTAAGTAATTAAGTAACTAATTAAGTAACAAAGTAAGTAAGTAAGTAAATAAGTAAGAAAGTAAGTAAATAACTAAGAGAGTAGGTAAGTAATTAAGTGTGTAAGTAAGTGTGTAAGTTCATAATTAAGTACGTAAGTAAGTAAGTGTGTAAGTCCATAAGTAAGTAAGTAAGCTGAGTAAGTAAGTGTGTAAGTGCATAAGTAAGTAAGTAAGTAAGTAAGTAAGTAAGTAAGTAAGTAAGTAAGTAAGTGAGTAAGTGCATAAGTAAGTAATTAAGTAAGTAAGTAAGTAAGTAAGTAAGTAAGTAGGTAAGAAAGTAAGTAAGTAATTAGGTAAGTAAGTAAGTAAGTAAGTACGTAAGTAAGTAAGTAAATTCATATGTAAGTAGGTAAGTGAGTATGTGATTAAGTAATTGTAAATGTTAGTAAGTATGTAAGTTCATAAGGAAGTAAGTAAGTAAGTAAGTAAGCAAGTAAGTGTAATTGTTAGTAAGTAAGTAAGTGCATAAGTAAGTAAGTAAGTAAGTAAGTAAGTAAGTAAGTAAGTAAGTAGGTAGGTAAGTAAGTAAGTAAGCAAGTATGTAAGTTCATGAGGAAGTAAGTAAGTGACTAAGTAAATAAGTAAGTGTAAATGTTAGTAAGTAAGTAAGTGCATATGTAAGTAAGTAAGTAAGTAATTAAGTAAGTAAGTAAGCGAGAAGGTAATTAAGTAAGTAAGTAAGTAAGTAAGCAAGTATGTAAGTGTAAATTTTAGTAAGTAAGTAAGTGCATAAGTAAGTGCATAAGTAAGTAAGTAAGTAAATAAATAAGTAAGTAACTAAGTAAGTGTGTAAGTTCATAAGTAAATAAGTAAGCTGCGTAAGTAAGTGTGTAGGTTCATAAGTAAGTAAGTAAGTATGTAAGTAAGTATGTAAGTAAGTAAGTAAGTACGTATGTAAGTAAGTAAGTTCATATGTAAGTATGTAAGTGAGTAAGTAATCAAGTAAGTAAGTGTAAATGTTAGTAAGTAAGTTAGTGCATAAGTAAGTACGGAAGTAAATAAGTAAGTAAGCAAGTAAGTAAGTAAGTAAGTAAGCAAGTAAGTAAGTAAGTAAGTAAGTAAGAAAGTAAGCGAGAAGGTAAGTAAGT